ATTTTGCGACACTTCGTTTATATTTGAAGTTTCAAATGATTATCTGTCCTAGTTTTAGAAATATTCAAGTACATGCTAAAATTTCAGAGCATTTTCTAAGTCAATTTTTGACCTTCAAATGTGGCCTTGACCTTAAGCTGGCACAAAGGTAAGATGGGTTCTGCACATTGTCCAGTTGGGGTGAACATTTGAGTCAAGTTTGAAGAAAATCCTTCCATAAGTATAGAATCTATAGAGCGGACACGACATATTGTCTTTTATTGATTGTATGTAAATTCCAAGACTTAAAAAGGGGCATAACTTTGTCAAAATGCAAAACAGAATTATGAAACGTGCCCTGCATATCAAATTGTGACACTTCATATATATTTTAAATTTCAAGCAAATGCCTTAAAGTTTTCTAGTTTCAGAAATATTCAGATACATGTTAGAATTTAAGTTTATTTTCATAGTCAATATTTGACCTTTAAGTGCGACCTTAACCTTAAGCCGGCAAAATGGTAACATGGGTTCTGCACATAACCTTGCTGAGGTGAACATTTGAGCCAAAATTGAAGAAAATGTTTCAGTTATTGTAGGACTTACAGAGCGGACACGACATACTGTCATATATTTGATTGTTTGATATTTGACCTTCAGTTGTGACCTTGGCCTGACACATGGGCAACATAGGTTCTGCACATCCCCTTGTTGAGGCGAACATTTGAGCCAAGTATGAAGAAAATCCTTCAATTGGTATAGGATTTATACTGCGGACACTTAATGGAGACGGACGGACGGACCGACCGACACAGCGAATCCATTATAGCCCCCCCCCCCCACACACACATTTTGTGGTGGGGGTATACTAAGGTGTTTGAGTAACAAAAAGTACTTGCATTTCCATTTATACAAATAATAATTCAGTCTTTAAAAAAAGAAGAATTTAGTATGGTAGCATTTTGTATAATATTTCTTTGCCAACCATTGAATGATAACTTTTTATTTTAAAATTTATCTTTTTATTATTACATTATAAAGATAACATAATAATATATTGGATCAAATTCATAGTGGTACCTTTCTCATATATCGTGAATTCACATAACGTCAACACTTTTTGGTTCAATTCTACTATGAAGAATTGTGCGATAATTGCGTCGAACCGTATCGTAAAATTCCGTGTCCTAGCATCCATCGATGGAACGTTGTAAATCTTCATTTTATATGAAGCTATTCCTGACTTCATTGATACATTGCCAGCATAAATTGTTGCATTTTCCAATTGCCAGCTATGATCTACCACATAAAAGATTTTGGTTGGTTACACACGTTTAACGAATATTAAACAACTTTACTTATTTTATCAGCTGGTTTGTTTTTAACGTTGACCTTCAAAGTTGAATTAGGTTTGTACTGAGTTACATGGCTAAATTAAATATTCTTTTTGTCACACCAACCCGTTTAACAAACAAAAAATTCTATCAAATTTGATAAAAAGATAAAAATACGAGGATGTTTTAATGGAATTGCGAAAATCCTTGCTATGCATTTTATTTTTTTTAATGTTCTATATAAATGTCTGTCTACAAAACTTTATACAGTTAAACAAATTGTACTATCTTACTTGCTGCACGTCCAAATATCTGCAAAGAACCTATTAAGTATTTCTGTTTAAGATCAATTTGCCACCATGAAGGAGAGACCCCGTCTGTTACACTGCAACATTTACATGTATCTACTGAATAATTCTGTACCCCGTCTATTGCTTTACTTGAGTTAAAATCTTGTGGATTATTGGATGGAGAATAAGTACTGGACTGGCTTGTTGTTACGTTGGTTCTGATACGTTCAATAAGATTAAATTCTGAAACGATTAGAATTGAAAGAAATTTTTCGGATTGCAAATAAAATATCAATAAAAAGTAATTATCAAATAAATAAAATGACATAAATGACATTGTGTGCACAGTGTTATAAAGTTAATAACTTTCCATGTCAATTGTAATGAAAATAAATTATAAAGAATACATATTTATAGCAGGACATTTGGCTTTTTGGGAAAAGTATAATACCGGTATAAGATTGCTATAATTCCGTTTTTGTAATTCTTTGCTTGGTTTTAGTTTTTCTGTTTTTTTTTTTTTTTTTGGGGGGGGGGGGGGGGGGGTTATTCTGTTTTTCTCTATTTTATCTATCGTCGGAGTTGGGATGGTATTGATATTCAGAAGAAGAAAATTTGAACCTAAACAAATTAAAATTCAACTCGAATATATGCATTAAATAATGTCGATATACAGAGCACACGATGTAGCGTTTTAGGTAAACTTTTATTTGCTATAGGTTCAGATATTCTAATAAGTAAGTCACCATTATTGCCATTTTTCGTATCGTACTTAATATACGAGGGTTGATCAATATATTCATGGACACTATTAATAACTTAATAATTAATCAAGATATTATAAAGATTTTTTGCTATTTAGGAGAAGAATTTAACACTATTCAAATATATTGTGATTTTTTAAAAACAAATCTCATTTTATTCATTATATGTATCGCCATAGCAACCCTATACAGTACGAACGCCGCAGCTCAAAAAAAAGTTATATTTACCATTTTGAAATACTTAAAAATTGTCCTTATTTTGGCGTGCTTCTTTAAAATATGAAAATGACGGCAACGTTCTTTCATATCGTTTATAGAACATTTAAAAAAGCAAGCGTCGCTACTATTTCTTTCGTTTGTTGGAGATGTTAATGGAGACAGGGGTGTGTCACCAGAGAGGAGCACGACGTTGTTGGAGCAGAGGGCAGTTATTAAGTTCTGTGTAAATCTTGGTATGACGCCAAAGCAAATTAAGAAAACATGGAAATTGTATCTGGAACAAAAAAAGTGTCTTATTCGTTAGTTTATAAGTGACACATACACTTCTGTGAGGGTAGAGAAGAACTTCAGGATGATAAGAGATGCGGCAGACCAATTAAAACTTGTTGCGATGCGAACGTTATGCGAGTGAAATTGAAGGCAGAGTTAAAGGGACACAAGTTAACCGGGTTCCATGATTTGCAGTCCATAGCATTGTCTGTGTTGCGTTCATTTGATACTTCATTGTATAAGAACATTTCCAGTCGGTGGGTACACAGGCATGAACGATGTGTAGAAGTTGGTGCTGCATTGTTTTTGAGAAGATGTAACGCCGACGTCACGACGTAACGTAAGTTGCAAATGAGCTGCGGCGATCAGCTTTACATGTATTTCTGAAAACTGTCATATCGGATAAAATATATGGAACATTTATCTGAAACTTACACATCAAATTGATAAATAATTGAATAAATGTCAAATATAATTATATTAACTCTCCTTCCCCAAAAAAACAATTTATGGAGTGTGTCCACGAATTTATTGATCAACCCTCGTACAGTAGCTTATCAGAAACCTAAAATTGCTTTTTGTTCTGTATGGCTAGCTTAACTTTTTATGCATCACGGCATAATTTGACATTATATTTCATGTATTAAAAATCAATCAACTGCAAACTAGTCGAAAATGCTTAGTAATTTCAAATGAGTCTGTTGATTTAAAGGTTATGCGATTATGTTAAGTGTATTTAATACGTGCCCTAGCGCCCAGTTAGCCAGCCTGAATTTGATATTCAGAGCAATGACAAAAATAATCATAAAACTGTACAAATTAAACGACATTGAGACTGTTAAACACTTTCAAACATAAGGCCATGTTATAACTGTTCCAAAATACATCATCCGTAGTTCTTTTATTTTGATTTTTTTAAATTTTAAAATGAGATTGATAATCAACGGAATAAAGCAACTGTTATTATATTTTTAATAATTTTAGAATGTTACATCACTGTAAAACATAATACATCTAGGGTGGTGTTTCTGGTCAGCCGCTTTTTTTCTTTCGTCTTTATGGTGATTGAACTTAATGACTGATCTGTACAAAAACTGTTATCATGGGGATTAAGGGACATTCTTGATAACTGTAACTGCTATGATTACTAACTTATAGGTGACGCGATAGCTCAGTTGGTTAAACCACTGATTAACACTCCTGAGGTCCCGGGCTCGATCCTGGGTTAAACCCTTGGGATTTTTCAGAGCCAATTTCAGTGTGTCCCACCTACCTAGAGGTGTACTGTACCAGTGCTATACACAGGGCTTGTAAAAGAACCAAGGGGTTTATTCAATAAGAGCTAGGGATTGGCTCCCGGATACCCTTGAATCTTATAGCTGTCTCTTTAATGTATACAATGTATACTAGCTTAGCGTGATCGTAAACGATTTTAAAGCAGTATGATGTAGAAGTAGAAATACAATAAATTTATATAGAGAATACATGGTTAATTTCGGGATGGAGAAGTTTTATCCGGTTAGCGAGAAAGTGTATCCTGGCGAGCTTTTGCTACCGGTCTACCGTCAATTTGAAGTCATTTTACAATTTCGGCGGGTCACTTTTTGGCTATGGCAATGTTATTGAATATTCGTCTCGAGCTTATATTCAATATTAAACATGTGCCGATGTGCCGATGTCGCTTGATAATGTTAGTTAAGCATATAAATTTGTATGAAACTAATTCCACGTGATTCAACGTCAGTGGCCATCTTGCTGGTTATGTCATTTTGAACGTGCGTTCATTCACTCGCCCATTATGCGGAAAATGCCGAAAATTGCATAATCTTGACCAAGATCTTGCAAAAATAGAATTGAAATACTTAAGATTTTGTGACTATTATATAGTAACATAGATATTAATAGTTATGTCTGCTTATCAATTGAATTGCTTTTGTTCTATAATAACTTATAATCATTCTCCTTTAGTTGAGATTTTATGTTATCTCTATTAAAGCATGTTTCTAATATCTATTATAGTCGCATCACAGTTTACTTTAAACGTGAACTTTAAAGTAACTTTCCTATGTTCGCATTGACCATCTTACTTCTCGTTGAGATAGTTATTTTTATCATATTATTTAACAAAACAATGACTGGGTGTAATATTCAAAGGGCCTACTTTACACTGGTATTATTATTATTATTATAAAATCGTCGGAATGTTTAACCGATGTTCGCTCTACAATATCTTGCATGCTGTTATATTGTCATGACAATTAGGATGACTATTGTTATGAAAAGACTATATCAACACAAGCAATTATCATAGTATTGCAAGCAATCCATAAGTCCCCTTCCGGTTAGAACCCCAGCAACATTCTGATGGGCCATTGGCCATTCAATTATACCATTGAATGAATAATTGAATGAATGAATGAATGAATGAATGAATGAATGAATGAACTTAAATCTTTTGAGTTCTAAGTTTGTCTATATCATAGTAATGTATTAGTTTCCCTGCCAAGTAAGGAAATGTTTTATGTTTATACAACAGATAATCAAAAGGTCCATTTTCTCAGCATGAAAAAGTATAACAAATGTTTCAACTTTTCTCTATTTTAAGTAAATTTGTTGGAAAAATCTGTAATGTGATCTCAGGAAACAGTTTATATGAACAGACAGACAGACAGACTGAAGGAGACTCTAAAGTTATTTTTTAAACATCCCTGTTACCTAAATATAACAGAGGAGATAACTCTTGAAATAAAGATGCTAGATTTATGAACTTTGTCAAAAATGATGATACCATTTATAGTCATTAATAAAAAAAGACGTGCATAATCTCCATACTGCCATCTATCAATATATCAAGTTTCATAAAAATATTTTTAGATCGCGGGATCCAGTTTTGTGGACTGACGGACAGACAGACGGACGGACAGGCGTACGAAGGGTAAGCCTAAAGTCCCCTCCGGTTAAACCGGTAGGGGACTTATAAGTCAAAATGAAGTCGTAATGTACCTTCAATGCATCTGATGATAGTAGGTTGTAAAAGTAGCAGCATTATACAAAAACGTGTCGGCATTGTGTCAAAATCGGTTCTCTGTAAAAAAAATTATCAGATGCAGTTTGATAAATATGGAAGCTTCCGTAGATTAATATTGTTATTTCACACTCAAATGCACTTAAGGTACTTGCTCCACATGATGTTCTGATATAATTCATAATTTCATCAAATCTATCAATTTAGCCTCATATTTATTTCTGAGTTCAAAACTGTTGATTTTGATAGATTTCTTTGATTTTATGTATTGTTAAATTCTGCTGTAAAGTAAACAGATAATTTTATATTGTCATATATATAGGCAGTCTGTTCACATATTATATAAACGGCATTTCTGAATAACTAACCGTTTAATTACAAACAATGCACTATTTCAAATCAATACTTGGCAAATGTAGTTATCATTGGAATACGATTGAACAAAATCAGCATCGCCTTTGAAGTAGTAACCGAGTTCCGGTGAATACACATCTGAAAGCTTGTATTACAATTTAGAAAATAATTATAAAGAAATATACCTGGCTTGGAATATCCTTCACTACACACTGATTATCAAGGAAGTTAAAAATTCTTAAATTTATCTTTCACTGTTATCTGAAGTATGAGCTGTTATCTTACATATTCTGGGTTGTTAGCTTCTTAAGACACTGTCAATCAAAATCACTTATTATCTTTATAAAAATAAGTTTTAAAAATACAAAGAAGACCCTTAGGATTCAACGTGTATCTTGACTTTGTTAATTCAGTATTGTTCAAAAAGTGACTCTTATGTAAAAGTTGTCCTGTCATGGGGTATTCAAGCTTTTAATTATTTGTTTTTACCAAATAAGTTTTATTGTCAGGAACTGATGTTCATAAAAGATGGAAATTGGGAACATTTGTGCAGGCATGTGTGTAATGAATTGAGTCTTTAACAGATGGCACATGTACACACTGTTCTTACTACTACTACTCGTATATGGATTGTTATTAACAAAAAACTATTTGTGAAATTGTCTTAAATCTAATCCGGAAGTCTAGCCTTGTTTTACAGTTTATACTTGTAAATATGTCTGTGTCCAGCTAAGTGTATGTATAAAATACTTTTGAAGTTATACGAGTTTGATTTTGCAAAAACACTTTTTTAAGTCTGCATATCAAATCCTTGTAAAGGCAATTTTAAATATTTTATATCATGATTGAGATATTTTAAGTCATTGGATATTTTTCATACACACAAGGCTATTTAAGAATATTAAGTTTCACACAGGTACCAATTCAATATAATCAACATCGTCGATAACGTCGGTAATTAATGATTGAATAAATAGCAATTGGAGAAAAGAAAAATATACACACGTTTAAAATTTGTTTAAATTGTGGCAAATAAAATTAAGAGTTTCAAACAGAATAAACAACACTGTTCAAATCTATTTAAAGACGTATTCAACATATTCAATTTGCTTTTTCTTTTCAGCTGTGCAAAACATTTAATGGATCAACACAAAACAATGTCTTGATAATAATTTATAATAGAGAACATGAACACTTTGATGATAATCAGGAAGTGAAAACCATACTCAAACAGTATGTGCAATAGAAGGTTAGAACACGAAGCACATAATACATGTATAATCAAATCGCTCTTACCACTACGTTACTTGGTATTCTATACTTACGTTTATTTTATTATATTATTATATCGCAATGGAAATGCAAAATATAACAACAAAATTCGTTGAACAACATGTATATCGCCGCCGAATACTGGTTATTACTAACACAACAACTGGAGATACATAAATTTATCATGGCATGCAAATTTCCTTTTCGTATTAATGATTCCAATAACGTCTTGTTAAAACCAATCCAGCAGTTGAAAAGAAATAACAATATTGCTCCATATGCATACTGCACAACTAATCAAGGGCTATAACTCTGTCGTGAAGGCTCTGAACAGAACAAGGGAATTATTATTATCATCTCCCAATGGAATTAATTGTTCCAATAAAGTGTCATTGAATTCCAGCCTGCACTTGCAGAGATATAGCGATGGCAAGATTATTGCTCTATATGCATACTGCTTAACTTATCAAGGGTCATAACTCTATGTTGAAATGTCTGACCGGAATAAGGCAACGATAAGCGCCTCTTCCCTAAGTATTGATTGTTCCCATTAAGTTTCGTTGAATTCAAGCCAAAAGTTGCAGAGAAATAGCATGGACACGATTATTGCTCTATATGGATACTGCATAAATAATCATGGGACATAACTGTTGAAGGGCCTGACCGAAACAAGGCGACCGTTTGCACATATCCTCTCAGTATTGATGGTTATCATAAGGTTTCGCTTAATTCTAGCCAGTAGTTGCAGAGAAATAGCGCAGAAACGATTATTGCTCTATATGTATACTGCATACCTAATCAAGGGTCATAACTCTGAGTTTAAGAGTCTGACCAGAACAATGCGATGATATGCGCATATCCTCTTAGTATTGATGTTTCCCATAAAGTGGCGTTGAATTCCACCTAGTAGTTGCAGAGAAGTAGCAAAGAAACGGTTATTGCTTACTATGCATACTGCATAATTAATGAAGGACCATAACCCCGAGTTAAGGGTCTGACCGGAACAAGGCGACGATATGCGAATCTCCTCTTAGAATTGAAGGTTCCCATAAAGTTGCGTTGAATTCCAGCCAGAATTTGTAGAGAAGTAGCGCGGAAACGATCATTTCTCTATAGGTATATTGTGTAACTAAAAGGGTCTGACCGGAACATTTCTTTTCTTTATGTTGATGGGTCCCATAAAATTTGGTTGAATTCAAGCCAGTAGTTGCAGAGAACTAGCGCGGACACGAAACTCGAATGGAGGGATGGACGGAAGGTTGAATGGACGGAAGGACGAAAACGGCAAAACAATATCCCACTCCCGATTCCATCGGCGGGGATAATAAATGACTCATACAACCCATTAAATCACAACGATGGTACGATGCTATCTTACACATGTTTCATCACTAACCACTGAGTCTGATTATGAATCTATGTTACTGTAAATAATCTTGCGTGCGTCAAGATCTTCATCAAATTAAATATTTCTGAAAAAAATCAGTTCTGAATAATAAGCAAACCCCTTCCCCTCCCCCACAAAAATCGTAACATATTCCTCGTTTTGTGATCAAACTTATTTGTTGAGAAGTATAGATCCTGCTTGCAAAAATTTTGCAATGTTGGGCTGTCTTTAGGGGTTCTGTTTTTCTCTATTCTATTGGATACTACTTCAATTGTCCCTGTTATTGCACACAACTTACATACGTCAATTTGCATGCACGCTCTCACACGTACGCATTCATGATACATTTGTATCTGATTGTTTTTCTTCTTGGTTATTTATCATTAGACGGCATGCAGTTGACCCGGATTTAATCTTTTTAAAACCCATTCATTATAAAAATATAAAAGTCCTTATCAAACATGCAATGATACTCATGTTTAAAAAAGGCTCACTTAGGACAAAGTTGACTAGATGTGCACAATACTGCACATGTTTGCTTGATATAGGGTACTTCACTGATAATACAATGCACATTTGACAAAACGCAAACATCGCATGATAAACTTCAAAAGATATTTAAACAACTATGCGTTCTGTGCATTTTAAGATTTCTAGCATATCTTTTATATTTCAAAGAAGTTTTAATATTTATGTCCCGAGCAGGGTAATATATTCTCCCTCTTTATGGACACCTTGCACCTTGAATTTCTAATGTACAATTGTCCCTTTAGAGGACGGATTGTTCAATAAAACAGACGTAATTAACATGCTGATACGATGAAATGTCAAGGAGTCGATTGCGTTATAAGAAATTTTCCTTTTGTTTTATTAATATTGGAAATGATATCGGTCAATTCAAATTTATCAAAACCCCAAACCGGTATTAAATAGCCGATAAACACCGCTCAGAGCGATATTATTTCTTAAATATATCCTGCATAACCAAGTCCTAGAATCAGCCTCTAATGCGAAATATTTCCAAATAGAACTGTCTCCAGACCTTAAATTAAATACATATAGGAGGGACAGTCAGAAAATATCCGGACTTTTCATGCTCCTCTCTTTCCACGTGCAGTTATATACACACATTATATATTGGTGAAAACTACATTTATTCGCCAAAAACGTGGTCAGTTTATTTTCAATGATAGTTGTGTATACACAGTATTTTGCCCTCTGATATATGATAGGTGTTTCGTCTATCATGGACTCTTTGTTAGAGGAACAACGCTCTGTAATAAAGTTTCTGGTTGCAGGAAGGGCGAAAAGCCCTGCCACATCTTTCAGAGGCTTAAAAAAAGATTTTCTGATAAATGTGTTTCACGTTCAACCTTTTACAACAACCCCAACAATGGTAGCAAATGTTAAAGCTTTTGTCAACAAAAGTCGTCGAGTAACTTTGGAGGAGGTAGCCAAGAAGTTAAGCATCGGTAAGGCATCGGCACACAAGATTTTACACGAACACCTAGGCATGAGCAAGGTAAGTGCCAGATGGGTGCCTAGACAGCTGTCCGCAGATCAACAGGCAACCAGAGTACCCAATGCAAAAGAACATTTAAGTCGTTTTAATCGTGATGGAGATAAGTTTTTGAACCGCAATATCACTGGAGATGAGATGTGGGTTCATTATTCCGAACCTGAGACAAAAGCTCAGTCAAAGCAGTGGAAACGAGCTGGTTCCCCACCTCCTAAAAAGTTTAAGCTGTCTCCTTCGGCTGGCAAAGTCATGCTTGTTGCTTTTTCGGGATTCACGAGGAATGATACTTACTCATTTCATGCCAAAAGGTCAAACTGTCACCGCCCAAGTACTATTCTGAAGTAATTCTGAAAAAAATCTCAGAGAAAAGCTTGAAGCAAATGCGTCCCAGGTTAGCACAGAAAAATGTCCTCCTTCTTCACGATAACGCCCCCCCCTCCCATACCACACCGCAGCTACAGTGAAGGTTATCAACTCTTACAAATGGCAATTGTTGTCTCACCCTCCTTTTAGCCCATACCTCGCCCCCTGTTGACTTTTATTGTTTCCAGAACTGAAAAAATTGCTTGCTGGAAAGAAATATAAGACCAGGGCGGCTTTGATATCTGCTGTTACACAGTACCTAAAACATAGGTCTACGTCATGGTTCACAGCGGGGAATACAAAAGCTCCCACAAAGATGGCAAAAGTGCGTAGACGTAGGTGGAGAATATTTTGAAAAACGGTACAAATATTTTTTTAAATGTTGAATGGTTTTCGAGAACGAGTCAAAAGTCCGGATATTTTCTTACTTCCCCTCGTATATCTTGAATAAGCCCCTAATACAAACAGATCGCTTGGCTTTATCAAAAGTAATGAAATGATTAAAACAGAGAAAATGGAAGAACTAGCAACCGACCGCATGCTGAATATGCAGCAAGTATCTTGTCTCCCTACACAAGAACCAATATTGTCAAGATAAATATGACCCAGAGACTGTCATACCCGTGTAAGAGAACTGGGGAGGCGTTTCCCAGAACATTGCAGACTAGAATGTAGGTTTATCAGATTTGATAAGATATGTAATAGTCACGTGGTATATTTTTTCCCTTTTTTATTGATCAAATAAATATATAAACATTGTATTTACAGCATGGGTATATAAACATACAACTATAAATGGATTCAAAGTAAAAAACAGAACATATCATAAAAGAAAAATAATTCATTTTACATACTACACTCATTCATCTGCACTCTCTCACTGCAGTCTGCGCTTTTGATATTGTTATTGATCATATCTATTCATCTTTTCAGTCATTTACTTATCTCTAAAGCCATTAATATAATAGTTTGATGTGTAGTTTTTGGATAGGTCAATACAGCCTAAAAGTT